GTCAGAGGAGAGAGAAACATTTTCGAGGTCGGAGAGGATAGAAGCGAACGGATCCCACCAAAGAGAGGAATCGACGAAAGTAGAAGCCATTGGAGGAGCTTACAGTGACTGAGCTTAGTACATAGCTAAAACCCTAGAGAAAGAAGAAGAAGAAGAAGAAAATGGGAGCAAACAATGATAAAATTTTGATTTTTCGCGCTACTGGCAAATATTCGGAAAAAAAAAAGGCCGTTGTTTTAGGCCCATTGGCGCTAATGATTTCTGCCCAACATCTCTTTTCCAGCCTAACGAGTACATAATATATACTGTGGATTACGAATACTTTGATTTTCGAAAAAAAAAAAAAAAAAAAAGCAGAAATATAAAATTATGTTTGGTTTTGAAAAAAAAAAAAAAGTATTTAAATTCTACTGTCGTATATGAATATGAAATCATAATTGTAAAATTTTAAAATATAGGAATATAATTGATTTAATTATGTATTAAATATATTATTTTTAACTAATTTTAAATACTAAATATACTCAAAATTAAAATAAAATACGGTTACGTTGAAACTTTAAATGAAAATAATATTAAATTTTCATGTATAATTTAAATTAAGTATTTTTCGTCATTCATTTCGTGATGTGCATAAAATTGAATTAAACAGCAAACAAAATTCAATTATGCACTAGATGTGTTAATTATTATTAATTTTGACTAAGATATAAAAAATAATACAATATAATAAATTTAAACCAAACGCAACATACCCACAACTCACTCCATCAACTATCATATTTTTATTCTTAATCTCATTCAAAAAATTATTTTTAATATTGTTAGTATTATAATATAATTAAATTGAAAATATTATATTATAATTTTTTGTGTAATATTATTTGTCTATTTTCTGTAATTTATTCGTTAATTTTTATACTCTAAAAGTGATAAAAAAAATTAATAATAATTTCACGCAAATTTTCATGTTGCTTTCTCCAAGTATTTAATTCTATAATCAAGAGCCGAAAATTCAGATATATAGCGTTGTTTGTTTTAATTAGGAAATATCATTCCATTATAATTATATTATTTGGTTTCTCATTTTTATTATTTATTAAAAACATAATGCTTATTCTGCATAAATGCTTTCTAAAGTGGTTGGATTTCATTTAAACTTCACAAAATCTTTCTTTATTGCAAATTTTAGATTATAATTTTTTGAGAATTTGATATGACATTAAATTAATGTCCAATTTCATATATGTATATATGATGGAATTTTTTTAATTGAAAAAAATTTAAATTTTCATTGACTTCGTTATTCCAAAACTAAAGTGTATTTAAATAAGTTTACATTAAATTCAAATTTTAAAAAAATAATCTAAAAGATAAATATAAATTAAATATTTTAAAAAATAAACTCATATTAATAACATAATTTTAAGTAAAAATAAATTCTATTCAAATTCAAACTAATAAATAAAATAAATTATAATTATTAAATTTATTAATTTTTTATTTTATTCGTATTTTATATATTTATTTTATAATTACCCAAACAAATATATATATATGTAATAAAAATGGCTAGGTAGACAAATACATTAATGCTTTTATATGTAATGAAAATGGTAGGTTTAGTAGCTCAAATTGTGACAGATAATTGATCTTTGAGAACATGACAACTGATTTATGTCTCTGAACTTTCTTTCCCCAAGCCCACACAACATTGAAATATGCATATCTCTTTTAACATATTGATTTATTATATCTTCTTAAATGTCCATTTAATTATTTTCCTTTCATAAAAGTTTTGTATATATGAAAACCTATACATATAATAAATGGACTCATCACTAAACTAGTTTTAAATACCTGCGTTAAGATAAAAGTTTATTTAGTTTCATGGCATTCCATTCTCACTAGTTAAATAAATATTGGTGGTAGATATATATGTGTGTGTGTGTGTGCATTATATGTTTTTATACAATTACATGTACAATGGTAGACGAATGGCTCCTTATATTTTACTGTAGATTGTTCAGAAGCAGAAATACATGCAAGCAGACACTGGGAAGAACCTAGTATGCATACTATAACTAAATAGGCACTATGAATATGAACTGCCGTCTTAATTAATTGCAGTTGCAGAAAGTGAGGTTCTTCATTTTTTTTTTTTTTACAGGTCAGAAGCCAACACCCATGTATATTTGTAAAAGCTGCATGTTACGAACAGAAGAGTTACTGGTAACTTGCTATATATGACATGAATTTCGTAACGTATTTTCCTATACGGGACTAAGTATATCTATCGATGTACAGAAAATTAATTGTTGAATTGGCAGATATTTTGGTGATGGAGTAGTTCCATATCACATTAATGTATCGTATAATAATTTTAAATAATTAATGATACACGTTTTACTAAAATCAAATGAAGTATTATTGGTCTCTACCAGAAGTTTAAATTTAAATTTCATGTTTTTGAAATAATAGTTTGTAAATTTTAATATATTTATAATATTTATTTTATTAGAAAATTAAAGTATACGTAAGTTATAAATATATAATTAATATGTATTTTTTAAATTTTTTAAAATGATTTATGTATTACATGTATTTAAAATTTTAAAAATTATGTTACTAATTATATATATTCTCATTTTTCTTCGTCTCGTTTCTAATGAAGTACCACTTTGAAGTAGCTTTATCTCTTAAAGTTTTTCCCAAGCATGCGTAAACTTAAGTTCTGCATATAAATTAGTATAAACTAGTTGAAGTTTCATGGTCATATATATATATACATAGATACGCACACACACATCCTATAGAATTCTTAAAACAAAATCAGACACTGTTATTACCGGAATAGAATCCACAACATTTACAAACGCTGAAGATTTTTATTTTTATTTTTGAAAAAAAGAGAGAAAAGATAAATTAAGAAATAAGCACATGAAATTAAGAACAACATCAGTAGTCTCCCACACAAATCAATCTTATAAATAATGAAATACACGTAACTAATTATTCACACAGTACTTTTTCTTCTCTTCCTCACAAGTCTTGTTTTATCTTGTTGGTATCTCCATCCTCTTCGGGCTTAATTTATTCTGGCTACAAGACTTAATTAAACAGTGTCTTTCGGCAGAAAACGATACTCACGATCACGATCTTATATAAATATATATAGCCCTACTTATACCTGCTAATATATTTATATATATGCAGTAATCGTGTCCTGCAGTAGAGATCAGAACTGATTAAGGAAGAGAAGTTACTGGAGGCCATTTGCCATACTTAGGCTTGTGGAAGTACTTCGGCGGGATGGTCTTGGGGAAATGAGGAAGCTTAGGAAGAGGAGGACATGGCTTCTTGAAAGGAGGAAGCTTTGGGATTGGAGGAAGCGGCTTATAAATGGGAACTGGCGTAGGAAGCAGTTTCGGGATTGGAGGAAAGACTTTCGGAGGACATGGCTTCTTGATAGGGGGAAGCTTTGGGATTGGAGGAAGCGGCTTATAAATAGGAACTGGCGGAGGAAGCACTTCCGGGATTGGAGGAAGCGGCTTATAAATCGGAACTGGTGGAGGAAGCACTTTCGGAACATCCGGAGGACATGGTTTCTTTTCAGGAACTGGCGGAGGTTTATAGACAGGAGGTGGAGGAGGAAGCACTTTCGGAACATCTGGAGGACATGGTTTCTTTTCAGGAACTGGCGGAGGTTTATAGACAGGAGCTGGAGGAGGAAGCACTTTCGGAACGTCTGGAGGACATGGTTTCTTTTCAGGAACTGGCGGAGGTTTATAGACCGGAGCAGGTGGAGGCTCCGGTTTCTTCTTTTCAGGAACCGGCGGAGGTTTATAGACCGGAACTGGTGGAGGCTTGACATAGACCGGAACCGGCGGGGGAAGAAACAATGGGGGACATGGTTTCTTGTAGATGGGAGGGAGAGGGAAAGTGGGGAGGGTAGGGAGAGGAGGGTACTTGAAATAAGGCCATAAGAAGGCTGAAGTGCAAGTTACAGGGGAGAATTTGAGCTTCCCGGAGAGACCCAAGGTGTGTTTTTGGTTGTTTATGGATTTGACGAGGAGGAGCTTTGAAGATTGTAGGCCGTCGTGGGCGGGACACGGCGCATCTGATGCACTATGAAGCTGGGCGTAGCATTCTTCTTTGAGCTTCCCGGTGGCGCCGTCGACAATGTCATGGGCAAGGGACACTGTGAATTTGCCGCCTTCATCGAGCTCACCCGAGCCTTTCGTCTTGAACCCTCCTTTTTCTTGCTTGCAGTCTATTGTCACACGCAGCCCTGGAATTGGACTCAAGAAATTAAGTAACCATGGTTTTTGGTAGATGAATTAGATATAGAAAATTAAGGTTATAAATGAATTAAAACTTGATTAATTAATCAACTAATTACCATATTATTCATCTTGTATGTAATGAAAAAATGCTTAAGATAAAACCAAAGATTGATGGACCTTTTGAGGCTTGAAAACTAA